AAGAGCCTGTGTCAGCCACACAATGCCCGTAGCATCACAATGTTTTCCTCAAGGGATTCACTCTGGAAATGAAAACTTATTTTGGCCTGAATTGAATACAACAGGAAAAAGCTAAGGCTGTGATGGAAGTACAAAAAATGAAAAGTGATGGGCTGCAAGCACAGCCTGGCAGAATGAGTCTGTCGCTGGGCTGCCTCGTCTCTGGACAGCTGCTCTCAAACAGCCGCCAGTTTTAAAGCCAAGAAAATAATCAGGTTACATTCCTTATACATTTAAATAATCTGTGCAGCTCACACACGGCCATTAAATGCTCCTAAGGTCCTACATAAATCATCAGTATATTTCTTGAAAGATTCTCATGGTTGGAAGGCCAGATTAGATAAAACGCTATTTGGGCAAAAAGCAGTATAATACTTCCCAGGCAGGATGCATATGAGTTAATGAGATGTAGTCATGCACACAGCCTTATTCAGCTATAACAAAAAACAGAATAATCATTTGAAATCCATGTGACAAAAACAGGCTCAGAGTCTTCTGTGTTAAGAATATCCTCCAAATTTCTTTTTTTCCTACTTTTACCCTTTTGCTGTTAACAAAAGCCATAACTGACTCAGAATCTCTGTAGTGCTTTCTAGCTACCTGTCCAAAACACAGTCGAATTCACAATAAGGGATTAGGTCCTACCCTATGGATTGAAAACAGATAACGCACCCATTTTGCGAAACAACTAGTCTACAAACTCATAAACCTCTTTCTCCTCAGTTTCCCAATAGACTGAGAATCCCTCTAATTTTAATTTCAGGGGCCCAATTCAAATAGGTTTTTGTATGCTGTAATCCATTTCAATTTCTTTGCTCATGCACATTTTACAGCTGCTAGTACTTCAACTACTGTGGAGTATATGGTCTTTTGATGTTCTTACCTTCCACCTTTGCACCGAAACTGTACATATGTACATAGGTACTTTGTTCAACAGCTTTTTCACTCTGCAAGGTTGTCACTGCCATTAAACATTGCTAAAAGCATTTTTTAGTGGCCATGGGATTTAGTGGTCACCAGCTGGAGATATTGTTCGTGGTCTGAATCAGATGTTGCAATTTGCTTCTGGTTGGTAGGTGAGAGCTGTCCTTCTCATCATGTTCAACAAATCCCACCACACCCAGGCATAATTCAAACAAAATGACACCCACCTAACTGAGGACGCTGGTCTTCTGTTTTGGGAACTGTTGAGGATGATGGCTGAGTAGCTGAAAATGGAAAAAACCATGTAGTTATTTTTCCAGTTTGGAAGTTGGTCACCAAACCTGTGGTAGATCACAGGCCTGGGAATCCTGCTGCTCACCACTTAATGATGGTCACAATACGATTTAGCTTTGTAAGACCATATGGTCATGGACTTGATAAAGCCTGAGTTCAAGGAAGGATGTGGTTGCCCCAGTGACTCCACCCAGTATTGCCTATAGACAGCTAACACTCTTCCCAGCCAAGGCACAGGTAGAAATCCTCCAGAGCTGAATGTTGAAATAGCTCCTACCAGTTCATTTCAGAATCTATCCAGGTTGCACCGTATGTGCGTTAGGCCCACAGGTTAGACATATGTAGATGCTTTTACCTTTTGACTGAGGACTAGGGTGGGTGTGACTTGACCATGCTGATCTCCTGGCTTGCTCATAAGGCAAATCTGCAAAGGAAAAACACACTGATTCATGCAGCTATGGCATAAAGTATTTATGTCTGTAAGGGGCACATTTCTAGAGGACTCATTGGATTGGAAAAATTACTGAAATAGGAAGGCTACTCCTTGTTAAAACCTTTATCATCTTTATTGTCTCTAAAAATAACAGTACCACATTGCCCTCTGCATCTCTCTTTAGAGGTGCCTATTCTTGTTAGATGTCTGAACTGCACTGAAATGGATGGTACAAATATTCTATAGAGTCACTAATTTTCAAAGGCTTGGAGTACTCCCTTTGGTCCCCTTCATCAGCCCAGGACACCAAGGAATGACACACACTCTGCGTAATGGACAATTTATGCTAAAGTCTTGCAGGAAAAGTCCCCCAAGAGGTCAGAGGTCAGAGTAAGAATAAACTCTGCACCATTCCCTCTCAATCTCAGCATGTAATGGCATTTTCTCCAAAGTTAGACTTTAGTTGATTTAATGTGCCATTCTTTGCTAGTCTGTTGCTGTCATCCCTTGAGATTAATCAAACGTTATAGGTTGAGTTTGAGAGTTCTCTTTTCTGCCACCTGGTCATAGGCAGAGATATGTGAGACAATGAAGTCTTGGTTTTGTCTGTTGGAGATTCCTCGAAACCACTGTTGTATGCTTGCGTTTGCACTAGCTCTCACTGCCTTCACGCACTTTATTATGCTCTCCCCGTAATATTATTCCTCAGGCTTGCAAGCACTCAGTTCCTCAGATGCACCCTCTCGTCTCACTCTCATCATTCAGAATCCAGTCTATTGGGATAATTGATTGTTGCAGTCTGCCAATCTCATTGGTTTCTCTTCTACCAGCAATTTCAAACTATTAATAAGTCCTTTTCCTTCACTCTCCCTTCCACACCCCAATATCCTCACAGATCTTAAGAAACATAACATGTGAAAACAGTGAACATACTTAAATGTTAAACATATATATGTATACACATTATATTTCTTCCAAAAAGTGGATAGCTTTTTTCCTGTTTCATCTCTTTAAATATGGCTTTCTGCTTCTTGGGACAAGCTCCTTAACTTTACTTATCTAAATTTTTGTTTGCCTTTTCTTTCATTGACCCATTGCTTCTATTTAATTTATAGGCTTTAGCATATAAAAATGAAGAAACTAGAACACAAAATCTTTCTTCACAAAGAATATGTAGTAAATTCAAATGTTTAGTTCCCCCTTTGAAATCTTTTGCAGTTGCCTGTGCTATTCTATGGCTGGCTTTAACACATTAGCTAAAATTGCTGCCAAAATCAGAGACTTATGTATTCCCGGGATCTCAAGAAAGTAGCAGTAACCACCTGGTCAAACTAAGTTGGTGCGGATGATCTGAGTCTTAACAGTGCTTGTGCTTTATTTTAGAAATCATGTTTGGAAATGAAACCAGTTAGGAAATAAAGAGACAGTCACAGACTGGCTTTGTGCAAAACAGATGTATCTCTGCCCATTTCCAAGCACTATAAGCAGAATTATTGAATGGAAATAGAGTGTAATGTGAAACTCACAACCAAATTACGTCTAATTTATTTAGTCTGTTTGGCCTAAGGAGCAGACTGGCACTACCAGCACTGTCGTATCCCAGAATTTTACACTTCAAAAACTCTGCTTTTGCTGAGATATGCAGTTTATCTTTGTATTGCATTTGAATAACTAGTGATCTTTCATCCTTGATTTCTTGAAAACTACTCCATGGTCTTGTCCTTCAGAAACTTGGAGAAAATAACATGGATTGCACAAGTGCTCATCTCTGAGCAGAGTACTGGTGTGCAAGTGAATCTTTTTAACATGCAGATGTCCTGACAAGGCTGAGATCCACACTGATATTAACTGTTGTAGTTAGGGACACCTCATGGCTTGAAGACTTTATCATCTGACAAAAAAATTCAGAAGGACTCTGGTCATGTTTCCAAGGGGTTCTGAGTTCCGTCTGTATAGAGGGGGACAGGGCTCAGCTATGGCCTGCCTCCATGTATCTTGTCCAGACCTGCCTTGCCTAGTCAGTTCTGTACCTCTATGGCAGCCTTGCCAGGGAC